GGGTTCGATTCCTAGCATCCCATATGGTCCCCTGAGCACCGCCAGGGGTGATTCCTGAGTGCAGAGCCAGGAGTAACCCCTGCGCATCCGCCAGGTGTGACCCAAAAAGCCAAAAAAAAAAAAAAGTTTTCAGGCTTTAACCACCATTTCCCAGGGAATGTTAGAATATAATTTAAAAAAAAAAATTTTTTTTCTTTTTGGGCCATACCTGATGGTGCTCGGGGTTTCCTCTTGAGTGTTTTCAGGGTTCTGCAAGGGGTGTCACAGATTGAACCTGGCTGAGCTGTATGCAAGGCAAGAGCCTTACCTGCTGAGCTGTTGTGCCAGTCATGTTAGGATATTTAAAGAGATTTTTTTTCTCATACCTGTATAACTTTTAAATATAATTTCTTTAAATTCTGAATGATTTAGGCAGTTTAACCTTGGGGTTCACACTATTAATCATTATCCGTGGTAGACTCTTCCAGTCCTGGGTTGGAGAGATGGTACCGAGGGAAAAGGGTTTGCCTTGCCTAATGTTGCCTAATGCTGACCCAGGCTCAAGTTCTGGCACTGCATCTGGTGCCTGAGCACTGTCTGGTGTGGCCCCAAAACAAAAGAAATCTGGACACCCAGCGTTGACAAACTGAAGCACACTTACCTTTGGTGGTTCTCCAACTGTACCAAACACTACAGATAGTATGTTTAGCTTGTATGTTACAACTAGGGAATTTTAACATGTATTAGCTAAACATAGTCAGCATTTTTTTAAAAGGGGAGATAAGGGGGGGGCTCTGAGAAAATAGTGAAAAAAAGGCTGATGGGGTATGTGGTCTTGGAACATTGCATGCATGAATTGAAAACAAATTGAAAACGAATTAATTGAAACAAAATAATTGAAAATTTATCAGGATGGCCAAAATAAAATTTAAAAAATTATGCATATCCACCCAAGTCATCGCCCACGAATGGCCTCTCTGGCTCCTGATCAAGCTGCTTAACGGCCATGATCCCAGAGACTCAGAAACAAATCTCGAAACTCAGTGGCTTTTGGCAGAAATGCATCCCGACCCTGCAGTAAGTTACTGTCGCCGAGCCACCGCAGGGGGGAAAGGGTGTTGTCCCTCCACCTGCTTCCCCCTGGCAGCTCGGTGGCTGTCATCCTCCAGAGGCCATTGGACAGTCAGGTTTGGGCCCGCAGCTACAAGACATTTTGGGTGTCACGGGATGGGGGTGGAGCCGGTCCTGTCCTCCCCACCCCAATGAGACCCCAAGTCGTCACCCACGAACGGCCTTTCTGGCTCCTGATCAAGCTGCTTAACGGCCATGATCCCAGAGACTGAGGAGCAAATCTCGGAACCCAGCCAGTTTTGGCAGAAATCCCTCCAGATTTAAGTGTTAAAATTTCGGAATTTCAAAATCGCGCGGCCACTACTGCAGCCACGTGACATCATGTTATTCTCATTCAGCAATAGAAAACAAATTGTCTACTGTTGCCTTTTCAGCAGATCTGAATGTTGGGGTAAAATCTCAATAATGGTGGGTCTGGTGTCAAAATATTGAATGTTATCAAAGTAGAAAGAGTAATGTGGAAATCATCTGCCCCACAAGTAGGGAGAAGGTGTGGGACGGGGGTATACTGGGGTTGTTGGGGGTGGAGAATGGGTACTGGTGAAGGTGAGGGTGTTTCATTGTATGACCAAGACTTAGACCCGAAAGCTTTGTAACCGCTCTCCAGTGATTCAATAAATAAAATTTTAAAAAATGAAAAAAAAAAGTAAGGTGGAGTTCATGCACAATTCAATCAGCTAATCAGTGGCTGAATAAATAGCAGTACTCCTACATAATAAAATTATGCATATCCAAAGGTGAATAATAACTAATAAAAAGCAAGGTTACTTGCTTTTGTTTTGCTGGTGAGAAATTAGAACAGGCTTTTTAGAACAATTGGATGGGTAGATCCCCGGCACCCTAGATGGTCTCCCCTTCCAGGAGTGATTCCTGAGCCCAGAGCCAGTAATAAGCCCTGAACACTGCTGGGTGTTGCCCCATAACCAAAAAGGGCTTCTAAATAAAGATTATTATATTACTTCTGGGCTGGAGCGATAGCAGAGGTAGGGTGTTTGCCCTGCCCATGGCCAGCTCGGCAGAGCCAGGTTCAATTCCTCCACCCCTCTCTCGCCCGCACGGCAAAGCCTGGCAAGCTACCCGTGACATATTCAAAATGCCAAACACAGTAACAAGTCTCACAATGAAGACGTTACTGGGACCGCTTGAGCTAATTGAACAACGGGAGGACAGGACAGTGCAGTGCAGTGCAGATTACTTCCATTGGTTATGTGTTATGTGCTTACTCTATTTTCCTTATACGTGTATGTTACCAGTACATATCTGTCTTGGTTTATATTTATTATGCATGAAAGCAAATAAAGTTTCAGCTTGAAAAAAATCGCTGACCTTGGCTGCCTTATCATGCAGGCAGTGCCTCTAGGATCATGAAGATAACTCTATGTCTTACCACTACTCAAAGCCCCTAGTGAGGCTGTTCCCAAATGGCACCAACACTTCCCATGCAGGGACTGAGTTAGGCCCATTGGGGCTTAATGTGGGCAGGCCCTGTTCAGTCAACAAATGCTTAATACAGAAAGGCACAGGCAGCCTTTGAAATGAGCCGGGGGCTTTTTTTGCCTTTGCACTTTAAAGTTCAACCCTTCCTGGGCTGGGGGCTGGCTGGGGACAGGATGTCCATCACTGGTCCTGCCTCTCACTGTGAGCTGATGTCTGATGAGAAATCTTCTCATTAGTCCTGTCCCTAACGTATCTCTGAAGGTGAAAATGGATCCTTCAGAAGAAGATATGGATACGCATGGGTTTGGAGTGACCTCAGTCACTTACTCAGGTAAGGCCTTGGTCCTGGGTGTTACTTTTGGTTCCTTTTAACTTTCTCTTCTGGAAGGTGGTGAGACTCGGGTGACTGCTTTATGTCTTTGCCTCCTCCCTCTGCCAGAGGGGCACCTTAGTCATCCATCTGCAGTGTCCTTGCCCCATTCCTGCACAATAAGTGCTCAGAGTTCAGTCCCAGGGGCTGGGAGATAGGTACAGTGGACAGGGCACTGGCCTTACATGTGGTTGACCTGGGTTTAATCTCTGAACCAGAACCAGGACTAAGAACAGAGCGCTGCTGGGTGGGTGTGGACCACCTCCCTCCCCATCCCACCCCCACCCAATCTGGGTCCTGTCATGGCACTCCCACTGAATTTACATTTGAGATTTGCCCCTTCTGCTGTCTGGCTTGTTCAGGCCCCAGGGCCAAGCAGCATATTTCCCTGAACCAGGTGTCACTCAATGGCATCAAGAATGACAGGCACAGATTCAGCTCATTTTCTCAGATTTTTGTTGGCCCCAGATCCCCAGAACACACTGGTACCACACTGTGCTCTGCCTAGAATTCAAGTCACACCTGATCTGTTCTACTGGGGTGATCCTGGGCAAATCCCTCCTGCTATGAGATGAGACCTGTTGGTGCCTGACAGTCACTGGCACTCAAGCACAGCCTGCAGGATGAAGGACACAGGCTTGTGGCAGTGCTCCTTTCCTCGCCCAAGATTTCTCTGGACAATGGAGTGTGTGTGGGGTGTGAGGTGCCCACTCCCGAGCACAGCTTGCCATCCAGTCACCCCCATTCCCAAGTTCAATGACCAGGTCATTGCAAACCTGGAAAAGGGGGGAGGAGCCTTCATAAAGCCCACGCGGTATGAGGATGGGGCGGCCTTGGGTTAGCCGGGCTGCTGGGCACGGGTGGTCCTCCTGCCGACATCCGGTGGCTCAACTCCGCGCACCAGGTCCTGGAAGCCAAAATGGCATCTGCGAATGGTGGCCCTGAGGGGTTCAGGGCTCCAGCAAGTGGCTCCTGTCGTCCGATGAACCACCACGGGGCCGCTGGGGACAGCATGGAGTTTTCGGAAGGAGCGGTCCCCCTGGACGTCCCGGGGTGGGTGACAGTGATGCTTTCCGGACCGCGGGGACCGGCTGGGTGGGCTTCACGCCAACGGCCAGGGGTGTCGGCGCGGCCCGGGGCTCGTGCATCGCCTCCCACCCTGCCCCACCCCGCGAGTCACCTGGACTCGGGCGCACGGGCCGGGCCCAAGGTCACAGAGCTGGCGAGCGTGGCCGGCGGGTTCGGACCCGGGCCGGGCCAAGGTCACCGGCCACTGTAGCCGGGCGGCCGCCGCGCCGACCCCCGCCCCGAGCCGGCTGGTCGTCGCGGGGGGCGCGCGGGGGCAGGTCGAGCAGCGCGGATTCCGCGCGGCGAACGCAGCCTCGCGCCGGCAGGGCCCGCTGCCCAACTACAGCTCCCGGCAGGCCGCGCGGCGCGGGCGCGGCCGGGCAGCCTCGTGACGTCACGCCGCGCCCCGCGGCGCCCGGCCGCGCGGCGCCCGACGGGAAATGTGGTCCGCGGCCGAGCGCCCCGGGCCACTGCGCGCGCGGCGCGGACTCGCCCTCCCGGCGTGCCCCGCGCGCCGGCTGCACGTTAACGGCGGGCGGGGCGGGCGAGGCGTAGGGAGCGGCGCCCGGGAGGGCGGAGTGAGGCGGGAGGGGGAGGGCGCCCACACCCCTCCCCCTCCCCGCCGCTCCTTCCCCCTCCCCCGACGTAAACTGGGATCCCTTTCCCCTTGTGTCCGCCATATTGGACTCTAACTCTGGTCAGCGGCGGTGCCGGGCCCGCCGGACTCGCCGCGCCTCACGCCGCCGCCGCCCCGCCGCTCTCGCCTGCGCCGGCGCTCCCCGCCCGCCGCGACCCCGCGCCGGTCCCCGCCCTCGGCCGGCCGCCGCCTCGGCTCCGCGCCGCCCGCGCCCGCGCCCGCCGCCGCCCGCGCCCGCTCCCCGCCGCCGCCCGCCGCCCGCCATGAGCCCCGCCGACGCCAAGCGCGGGGCCAAGCGCCGGAAGAACAAGCGGGGCGGCGGCGGCTCGGGCGGGGGCAACGGCGGCGCGAGCGGCGGCAAGGCCGGCCCGGCGGCGGCGCTGCGCGGCTCCCAGGCCGCGGGCCTGGCGGCCCCGGGCGGCGCGGCCGCGGCCAACGGGCCCCTGGGCGCGGGCGCGGGCGGCGCCGCCCCCGGAGGCTACTTGGAGGTAAGCGGCGGGGGCGGGGCGGCGGGGGGCGGGCGGCGCCCTGACAGCTCCGCGGGCCGCGCGCCGGCGCCTGTCACGGCCACACAAAGCCGCGCGCCCGCAGGCCCGGCGGGCCCCGAGCAGGCCGGCGCGCGGCCCCTGGGCGGCCCCGGCGCCCGGCCCGGCCCGGGGCCGCCCCAGGGTATTGTTCGAGCCCGCGGAGCTGCGCGTCGGCGCTTGCAGTCGGGCCCGCGTTCACCTGTCCAGTCGCGCATCGCTCCGTGCTATTGCAGCCGCGAAGTCTGCGGAAGCGAACAGGGCCGGGACTCCGGCTGCGCACGGAAGGAATTTCACCGCCGGCCGCTCGGCTGCGTCCTGGTGTTTGCTCGCTCCGGCTCGATGGATCGAGCGCAGTGCCCGGACTGCTCGTTCGGCGACGTGAGCCGATCCCGGAAACATCCTTCTTTCGGTCCGTCTTATTCTGCCCATTGTGGTAGCGGGACCCGCTCCTGGTTCTGATTCAGGAGTCACTCCTGGGAGTGCCCGCGGGGCCATTATCTGGAGGTGGGCGCGAACCCAAGTTTACCGGAGCGAGGCCGAGGCCGCTGTACTATCCTTCAGCCCCTCCCCTCTTCAGCTCCGTACTCCTGTCGGCCCTCCTTCCCCGCACACGCCCAGGGCTTATTACTCCTGGCTGGCGCAGGGGACCGTAAGGACTCGGAATCCGCCCATAGGGCTGGATGCGAGTCAGCGCCTTCCCACTGGAATAGCGCTCTCTCGCCCGCAATTTTCAAGTTTTACAACCGGGTCCTTGAGGGCTGGAGCGACAGCGCAGCGGTAGGGCGTTTGCCTTGCAAGCCGCTGTCCCGGCCAGCCAAGCCGGGTTCGATTCTTCCGCCCCTCTCGGAAAGCCCGGCAAACTACCGAGAGTATCTCGCCCGCACCGCAAAGCCTGGCAAGCCCCCCCCCCCCACATATTCGATATGCCAAACACAGTAACAAGTCTCACAGTGGAGTCGTTCCTGGGCCTGGCTTGAGCGAGTCGATGAACAACGGGTGGACAGTGCTACAACAGGGTCTTTAGTTTTAGTTTCTTCACCAGTGTTCTAAGTGTGATTGAAGATACTTGGTGCTGTAATTTTTTTGATGTGTGTTTTGGGTCCGCACCCAGGAGCACTCCAGGCACTTGGGGGGGGGGGAGCTAAGGAGACCTTCTCTGGTGCTGGGGATCAAACCCTGGTTGGCGGTGTGCAAGGCTAGTGCCTTACCCCAACTACTATCCGTCCATACCGTTGGGAGTAATTCTAGGCATCTGAATCCCTCCCTACAGACAGTGAATTGGGGGGGGGAGGGGTGCACGCCTTCTCATACGGAACAGTCATCCAAAACAGTATCACCAGGTAACGGTGACTGACAGTGCATTTCCAAAGAGACTTAAGCAGCACCAGGGACCTCACCCTCCCTTTACAGAGGGGATCACAAGGTCGAGGCAGACATCTAAGAGGGGGGAGGAAGACTGGAGCTGCCTCCTTTCTTGAAAAAATGCCAGACCCAGGATCTCTTGATCAACGTGACCTTGAGGTTGGGGTGTGTCTGCACACTGCTGCCTAAGACAAACTAAGGGCTGGGAGGGCTGGGGAGGTGGCTCTAAGGGCTCAGCACTAGCTTTGATCCCCAGCACTGCCCAGAACGTCCTACTCCATAACACCATGTCAGTAGCCCCTTTGAGCTGCGGTGTTGTGTGCAGTCTCAAAACCGAAGGCAAAAAAATGAAATGAGGGCTGTGGGCTAGGCAGCAGTGAGCCGGCAGAAGCCTGGCTGGCAGCAGGAGCCTGCTCCGTGCTGTGCCCTCAGGCCAGGTGTCACTCCTGTGCCTCAGGTCCTGGCACCCAGCTTCCTGGTTTAAGAACTTAACAGAAGCAAGGACAGTGGCTAAACAGCACCTGTGGCACACAGCTCTGCACCCTCCTACCTTTCTCTCCCTGGACACTAGGCAGGACTTGAGTGGAACTCTGCCATTAGGTGTTGTCGATCAAGCTCTTTCCACTGTGGAATGGGGACACAAGACACCTCTGAATGATGAATAGGGTCTCTTACAGCCACAGGTGGGGCTTTCCTCTGAAGTGAAGAGTTGACCTTGAAATAAATTGGTAGACAGAGAATATCATGACTGGGCTGGAGAGATGGTACAGCAGTTAGGGCGCTAGCCTTGCACAGCATCCTATATGATCCCCTGAGCACTGCCAGGAGAGATTCCTGAGTGCAGGGCCAGCTTAACCCCTGAGCATTGCCAGGTGTGGGCCTAAACTGCTCCCCCCCAAAAAAAACAAAGTCATAACTATTCTTTTGTATCTCTGCTTTAAAATATGATTTTCATAATTAGTGAAGAAAACCTTGCAGACTAGAAAACAATATGTGGTAGAGACCCTTATTTGTAAAATCTCTGTTGTGAATTCAGATGGCTGTTTTTCCTTTTGTATATACCTCAAGTGCTATACTAGCATTGTTTTTTGGGCCGAAAGGAGAATTGTGGGTCCAGGGAGATTGTTCAGAGGACTGGAGCACATGCTTTGCATGCTGGGGTCCAGGTTCAGTCCCTGGCACCTCATGGTATCCCAAGCACTACCAGGAGCGACCATCAAACGCTGAGATGAGAGTAGTCCCTGAACATCCCTACTGTGGCTCAAAAGCCATTATTTCTGTGTGCTCAGGGATTACTCCAGGCAATACCTTTGTGATATTGAACCAGGTCAGCTGCATGCAAGACTTACTTTACATGCTTTAATCCCTGGACTGTCTCTCTGGCCTCAGAAAAATGGTATTTTTAGAGCTTCATGTTACGAACAATTTTTCTCTTTTTAAAAAGAACTTTGGCCTTTGTGCCTTTGTAATTAATTAATTTATTGGCTTTTTGGGTCACACCCAACAATGCTCAGGGGTTACTTCTGGCTCTGCATTTGGGAATTACTCCTGGTAGTTCTCAGCAGACTATGTGGGATGCCAGGAATCAAACCCCAGTTGACTGAGTTCAAGGCAAACTCTCTACCCACTGTAGTATTGCTCTGGCCCCGCCTTTCTGCCTTTTGATAGTGAAACATTATAGACATCATATATAAAATAAATTTTGCATCATAGGGATTCTATTTTCAGAACAGTTGGTTAAAATTACGTCAGTAATTCAAGTGTTATGTACAAAATACAGAATTTTTTTGTGGAAATTGACAATATTTTATATAATCTGTCCTCATGGAGAGTTTAATTGGGAACTTAGGACTACTTTTATAAAGTTTAAAGTTCTTTAGTAGAGGAAACCATTTGGGTGGAGGTCAGTTGTAGTCTCAAACACTAAAGATGGATAGAAAGGTGTTGTAGCGTAGGAGGAATTGTAATCATTTAAGTTCCTCTTTTAGTGCGGAAAATGTGTCATGGAGGAGATGGACCCTGGTGTATGTGCTTGAGATATGGGCCTGGGAGTTGTTTGGGGTGTTCTTGGAGACATTCCCTGTGTGCAGATGGCACTGTCATCTCAACTGCTGTGCCTCAGTGACCCAGGAGGGACGGGGTGCAGCTGAGATTCTGTGCCTCACACATGTGGCGCATTGTGCCACAGTGGAGACTCCTGCCACCCTTGAATGCTCCCTCACCCTGCCTGCTACTGCGGGGCAGTGTCTCATTGGTCCCTCAGATGGCTCTGGTCTGCTTTTTCGGACACCACTCAGCAGTGCTCAGAACTTACTTCTCGCTCTGTGCTCATGGCAGGGCTTGGCGCCACATGTGGTGCTGGAGATCAGACCCAGGTTGACTGTGCAGGGCAAGCACCTTACCTGCTGTCCTGCCTCTCTGGCTCCTTGGCCTGCTTTTGGGCCTCTGCCAGGACTCGGGGACCTCACTATGTCTGAGAGATTCGCAGATTGTTGATCGGACGGCTCGTTCTTTTTTGCGTGTTGCAGAGTTTTCCATGTGTTACTTGTATGCATTGTGCCTGTGTTCTGTGATGGACATTTGGGTGATCTCATCTTCGGCCTGCCGTGCATTCTTCTCTGTGTCTTTTCATAGACACTAATACTCAGTTTAGTCCCAGTTACACCTGGGAGTAGAATTTCATAGGTCGTTTTAATTGAGCAGATATTACCGGAGCATTTTCCTAAGCAGTTGAGTTGTATGCAAATTTAAAAAATTAGCTTGCTGGGGCTGGAGCAATAGCACATTGGGTAGGGCATTTGCCTTGCATGCAGCCGACCTGGGTTCAATTCCCAGCATCCCATATGGTCCCCTGAGCACTGCCAGAGTAATTCCTGAGTGCAGAACCAGGAGCGTTGCCGGGTGTGACCCAAAAGTGGGAAAAAAAATAGCTTGCAGTAAAATTGATGTTCTAAAAGTTTGCGTTTTAAAATTTGTCCAGTGGTTGTTGTCTGCTGGCAGCAGGTTCCAGAGCTGTTTCACGGTTCACAAAGAACCCTCTCTGCTGCTCCTGCAGCCTATTCTCTCTCAGTATGACTTAGTCTTTTGGAGAAGTCAGACATGAAGCCATATAGCGTGTAACTTTTTTTTGCATGTGACTTTCTGGCTGGTTCATTTCAGACTTGTAGCTTTGTGATTCATTGGGGGTGTTGCTTTGGATTGATGTTGGTTCCTCTTCACTGTTCAGTGCTGTTCCACTGTGTACATGAGTGTACCGTTACTATCAGGTGTCCCCAAACAATAACAATAGCAACAAAACAACAAACAAGAAAAATTTCATGCCTTTGGTAGATCTCATTCATGGAGTGGAGCTGGGCAGAAGCTAACCTGCCCAGCAAACTGCAAGTCTTCAGCGTGTGGCTGTACCATTTTGACTTTCTCTCAGTGATGTACGAGAGTTTCAGTTGCTCAGCATCCTCCCTAGCATTTCATGTTGTCAGTAGTTAAGTTTCATTATTTTAATTAAAAAGTATGTAGGGGCATTGTGGTTTTAACTTGCTTTTCCTTAATGATTGGTGATATTTGTCATTTTGCATCTTTCATTCTGTGTTACTATTTGA